GTCCCGAAAATGCCGACTTATCGTACGCCGGGACCGCGGTGCGCTGGCCCGCCCGTAACGCCGAGAACACTTCCTTCGCTAGCGTCAGGTCATGCGTGCCAGGTTGTCCGCGATGCTGGAGGAGCGGATTCGAGGGGTGCGAGGCGGCGAGGTGTTCTTGTTGCGAGTGTGTGAGGTATAGGTCGTCGAGGGAGAGGGTTACCACGTTGAGGGAGTAGGGCGGGGAGCGGAGGGTGGATTGGAGGGTTGAGACCTTTTTGCCCCCATTTGATTTGATTGTTAGTGAACTGATTTGTTTTCCTTACTCCCTTGAAGGGTAATTGAGCGTAATTGTCATCGGGAGGAAAGGGTCATACCAAGACTGTTTTACCGGCCCCTTGCACGCCATTTAGACCGAGGAAGAAAGGCGGGGTGTTGGTGGGATGGCGGGCTTGGTGGGCCTGGAGTCGTTCCAGAAGGAAGGGGATGCAGTGTTGGGATTTGTCGTCGATTATTTCGGGCATTGTGGGGGATTGTAGTATCTTATTTGGTGCTTTTATGGGAGAATGAGATAGTAGTAATAGATTTGTTTTATGTGTAGGTAGTATACTCTGGTGGCTACAGTGATATATACTGCTAAGGTAGACTAAGCTTCGGAGGTGATCCGAGCGGGTGATTCTGCGGAGGACAAATGTATTGCCTGAAGGATTGGCCGGCATCATCTCTGTGGGCATACTGCACCACTTGGGGTCCATAGGAAGTTGCTGTATATTTCATGAATAGTATCGGGCAGGTATGAATGTTATTGAACTTTGAGATTAATGTGAAAAGGATAAAGGGAGTAGCAGCACGTGGCATGACGTTGGCTGAGAATCACATGTCTGAGTCAGCAGGAAGTTGATGATGTTGATGGTGGCAGACATGATCAGAGCTGTCGATCTTGGTCATTCTTTTATAATTAGTTCCTTTTTAGACTGAGCGAGTCTGGTTGGATTGTATGAAGAACATCATGGTGATAGTCTGTAGGATAGTCACATATGGGTAGACAAAGAAAGGTAGGTGTCGGTCACATAACCGGGATAATAGTTTCGGAGTATCTTGGCAACCGGGTGGAAGTTGAGGAGAATTGAGAGGAAGAAGACACCAATTTTGTAGAATGAATAACCATGGGAGAAATACCTTGCTTCAATTATTCGTAGTTAGTGTGTATACTAATCATGCTGTAGAATGATTATCGTGGAAGTGGACATCGGCATGTGAAGGCAGCATCATCTGCCACCCCCCGATCGGTTTAGCGCCAAACGATCAAACCTCCGAGCTTCACCTGCAAAAGATGCCGAGGTTCCTTGGTCCAGCTTGCCGAGCATTGCGACCGTCCTCTTCCCCCGGATTCTTCATCTCTTCCCTCCCCCAGACCAAGTCCCCTTAAGCTTCTCCTCTCTCTTCAACTAACTTTCATATAATACCCCGTCTCTTCTCCTCATTTCGCATTTCTGTCCTTTCCCTTTAATCTCCCCATCTCTCCACCTCCCCTCCTCTCCTCCTCACATTGATTATTCAACATGTCTGAGCTGCGCTTCGACAACCAAACCGTGGTTGTCACCGGTGCTGGTGGTGGCCTGGGTAAGGCATATGCCCTCTTCTTTGCTTCAAGAGGTGCAAACGTCGTTGTCAACGACCTGGGTGGCTCTCATTCTGGTGAGGGCAAGTCGGCCAAGGTAGGTTGTGTCTTTGGTTACACAGACTCGTCCCCAACGCCCTTGGTTGAATCCCGCTGACTTCGTGTGTCTCTCCTAGGCTGCCGATGTGGTTGTCGATGAAATCAGAGCTGCTGGCGGCAAGGCAGTAGCAAACTACGACAGTGTCGAGAACGGCGAAGCCATCATTGAAACCGCCATCAAGAACTTTGGCCGCATCGATGTCCTCCTCAACAACGCCGGTATCCTCCGGGATATCAGTTTCAAGAACATGAAAGACCAGGACTGGGATCTTATCTACAGAGTGCACACATATGGCGCATACAAGGTAGGCAGGATGCGTTCGCCTCTGCCTTCAAGTGGTTGCTGACGCGAGGCTTTGTCTACAGTGCGCAAGAGCCGCATGGCCTCACTTCCGGAAACAAAAGTATGGCCGCATCATCAACACTGCTTCTTCAGCTGGTCTGTTCGGTAGCTTCGGCCAGGCAAACTACTCTGGTAAGCTTGGGTATGTTCGGAGGTTAGAAGCTGTTTAGCTGACTATATAAGCTGCCAAACTCGGACAGGTCGGCTTCACCGAGACGCTGGCGAAGGAAGGTGCCAAGTACAACATCATTGCGAACGTCATCGCGCCAATTGGTACGTTGATCCGGCTTCTCTGGGAATGCAGTGGCTAATCTAAAACAGCTGCTAGCCGTATGACGGCCACCGTCATGCCCCCCGAGGTCCTGGAGAACCTCAAGCCCGACTGGGTTGTGCCGTTGGTGGCTGCTTTGGTCCACTCATCCAACACTACTGAGACTGGTGGAATCTACGAAGTCGGTGGTGGACACGTCGCCAAGCTGCGCTGGGAGCGTGCTAAGGGTGCTCTTCTGAAGACCGATGCTTCTTTGACGCCCGGTGCTATTGCTCGGAAGTGGAACGATGTCAACGACTTCTCCAAGCCGGACTACCCCACCGGACCTGCTGACTTCATGGGTCTCTTGGAGGATGGCTTGAAGTTGCCCAGCGCCCAAGCGGGTGAGGAGCCCAACTTCAAGGGCAAGGTTGCTCTGGTCACTGGTGGTGGCAACGGGTATGTAATACCGCAGATAAATGATAGCTATCTATCGGTTCTAACGTGCTCATAGTCTTGGCCGTGCCTACTGTCTGCTCTTTGCCAAATATGGCGCTGCCGTCGTTGTGAACGATCTCGTCGACCCCGAGCCCGTTGTCCAGGAGATCAAGAAGATGGGCGGCCAGGCTGTTGGAAACAAGGCATCTTGCGAGGATGGCGAGAATGTCGTGAAGACCGCCATCGATACCTTTGGTCGTATTGATATCCTGATCAACAACGCTGGTATCTTGCGTGACAAGGCTTTCACCAACATGAACGACGACCTGTGGAACCCTGTCCTCAATGTCCACCTGCGCGGCACCTACAAGGTGACCAAGGCTGCCTGGCCCTACATGCTCAAGCAGAAGTATGGTCGCATTGTCAACACGGCCAGCACCAGCGGTATCTACGGAAACTTTGGACAGGCCAACTATGCCGCCGCGGTATGTTACTGCCAATGCTGATTTTCTTAACGCCTTTCACTAATTGTCTTTAGAAACTCGGAATCCTTGGTTTCTCCCGCACTCTTGCTCTTGAGGGTGCTAAATACAACATCAAGGTCAACACCATTGCCCCCAATGCTGGTACCAACATGACCCGTACCATCATGCCCGAGGAGATGGTTCAGGCGTTCAAGCCTGACTACGTTGCTCCCCTGGTGGCTCTTCTGTGCTCGGACATTGTGCCTGAGCCCAGCACCAAGGGTCTGTACGAGTGTGGCAGCGGCTGGTTCGGCCGCACTCGCTGGCAGCGTACCGGCGGTCACGGATTCCCCGTCGACGTTAAGCTTACCCCTGAGGAAGTGCTCAAGCACTGGCAGAAGATCACCAACTTCGACGATGGCCGTGCGGACCACCCTGAGGATGGCCAGGCCGGTTCGGAGAAGATCATGGCCAACATGAGCAACCGCAGCGGCGGCGACTCGGAGGGTGGCAACAACATCCTCCAGGCCATCGAGAAGGCCAAGCAGGCCACCACTGACGGAACCTCCTTCGACTACGAGGACCGGGATGTCATCCTCTACAACCTCAGTGTCGGCGCTAAGCGCACCGATCTTCCCCTGGTGTACGAGAACAACGAGCACTTCCAGGCTCTGCCCACATACGGTGTGATCCCTTGGTTCAACACCGCCAACCCCTGGAACATGGATGATATTGTCGCCAACTTCTCCCCCATGATGTTGCTGCATGGCGAGCAGTACATGGAGGTCCGCAAGTTCCCCATTCCCACCGCCGCCAAGACCTTGACCTACCCCAAGCTCATCGATGTCGTGGACAAGGGCAACGCCGCCCTCGTCGTCTCCGGTTACACCACCAAGGACGCGAAGACCGGCGAGGATCTCTTCTACAACGAGTCGACCGTCTTCATCCGTGGCAGTGGCGGCTTCGGCGGATCGCCCAAGCCCACTGCCCCCCGCCCCAAGGCCGCCGTGGCGTCCTACAAGGCTCCTCAGCGCAAGCCCGATGCGGTTGTCGAGGAGAAGACCTCGGAAGACCAGGCCGCTCTCTACCGCCTCAACGGTGACCGCAACCCTCTGCACATCGACCCCGAGTTCAGCAAGGTCGGTGGCTTCAAGACCCCTATCCTGCACGGTCTCTGCTCGCTGGGTGTCTCTGGCAAGCATGTGTTCAGCACATACGGTGCCTTCAAGAACCTTAAGGTCCGCTTCTCTGGTGTGGTGCTGCCCGGTCAGACCCTCCGCACGGAGATGTGGAAGGAGGGCAATGTGGTCATCTTCCAGACCACGGTGGTAGACACCGGCAAGCCTGCCATCACGGGGGCTGGAGCCGAGCTGTTGGAGGGTGCCAAGGCCAAGTTGTAAAACAGGGGAGTGGTGTTATTTATCAGATTGTATGTACATAATGTCATGAATTCATTTTCTGTTTGAAACCATCTATTATACATTGAGTAGCCCGTATGGTACATGTAGACAGCGTAGTAGATGGATGTCAAGAACACGCCATGTAAACATATCCTCACCTAAGTTAAGAGTCTCATCCCATTGCCCAGTTGTAAGCATCATCGAATCCAAGTCCTTGATATGTCTTTCCACATGTTCTATAGCCCCAGTAACCCTAAATGAGCCTCAGGCAGCCTCGGGGTAAGGGCATCTTAATCTAGTCAGTACTTAGCTTGTTGGTGATAGATACAAATAAGTAATCTGTCCATTCATTGCTATTAACTCAGCTAGGGTTACTGATATATATGCAACAAGTGAAATAAAATAGTCAAGGTCCCAAAGCGGCTACATACCACCACCATGAATCCACAGTATTCTCAAATCCATCCAGAACCATGGGAAGATAGACAGATGCCCATTCCTCACCACTCAAAGCTGACATCTGCGCTTTGCGCACTTCCCAGTATGCAGGCAGCCAGCCGGATTGCTCCCAGTCGATGATTGCCATTACACGGTACGGAGGAGAGGATGTGACGATGATATTACTGCGATGGAGATCGCCATGGGTGAATTTGATGGCACAGTGGTCTGGAAGACCATAGCGATATGGTTCTATGGGCACAGAGTATGGATCCGACATCCGTCGTCGGGGAAAAAATGTGAACCAGTCGTGGAATTGGCGGACGGTAGGGAATGGGGCCTGCTTCGTGCAGGTGGTTGATGCTGAAGGTTCTATCGTAGATAGGCTTTTGCGCGATGTTGCCTATGCGGGTACTGATCAGATGACAGTGATTTATTTCGCAGGATATAAGGAATATATGTACCGACTGATGTATCCTCCGGGTCCTGTTCGAGCTGACGAAATCGATCGCAGATTATTCTCAGCTCATGACAGATGCTTGTTTTATCTTCCTCTGCCATGACATCCCATGCTTGCTCTTAAGTCTTTCCCTTTATATACTCCATGTAGATGTATATCACCTCCCCTTCAGTGCGCCATCCATATACCTCGGGGACGGGGCCATCGTCCTTGAGAAGTCGGCGGATAGCATATAGACAGTACTAAGCTTCGGATATTTTGAGAGACGTTCCCCACTTAATGAACATATTCATTTCTTCAAATAGGACGGGCGGTGGTCTAGTATGAAATGTGTCGGTGGAATAGTCTCTCCTTCGATCTGGATTTATTCCAGCCAGATGCTGGGCTTTGGCTTGTACCTGCACTTCTTTCGGGGAAGGTAATTGTTCCCATTTAGTAAAGAAAGATGATTCCTTAACATCATAGTTGGGAAGGTCGGGGATCATTGATGGTGTAAGTCGCACGCTCTCCATTGTGAATGATGGGGTGGTTGGAAGCTGTTGTGGTGGGTTGTATTACTGATTCTATGGACTACGGGATGGTAGGCTGGATCAGGCACCAGTAGGTGCTTATGCCAGGCATCCATTTGAAAGAACGATAAATTTGGATAAAGGAAATGTGTGCATATTTCGAATGATAAGGGTGATTTCATTCCCTTTCGAACATGAGTTATTCGAGGAATATGCCATCCAAATATTACACGCCATTAAAGTATCTTGTAGAGACTGATAGTATGCATTTATTGGGCCAACAATTATCTTACCAAACAGAAATCAGCCTCAAGCTGTCAGATCAGGAGCGGGTAATTAGGATGCAGCATAGCCTCATCATTGTGCTATCAATACATAGTTGTACATTATTAGTTGAAGTATATTCGGAGAAGTGTTGGGTGGAGCATTGAACCAGTCCCGTGATTGGATCATTTGGAGTAAAGTCACGGAAGTCAACTCCTCCCGATTGATTCATTCCATCATTCCGCTTCCCATCATCTTCCCATTTCCCATCCATCAGATCACCCCATCATCTTTCCCTTCCCCCCACGCCCCATCCCACGCCGTCTTCTTCCATCTCTCTGGCTTCCCGACACTAAGCTGGAATTAACTTCGCCCGCCAGATACCCTTCCTTCTGGCCAGACGCCTTCCCGTCTACCCTCCGACGATCATGTAGCAAGCTCGGTCTTGCGTCCCTCCGTCAGTGCAACGATGGTGCTCTCCCTATCTGTCCCTAGCTTTTCTAGATCCACCACCTCCTCCGCGCTTCGTGTCAGCGACAGCAGCAACTCTACAACCATCAGCGAGGCTCTCCGCAATAATCCTTTCGGCATCACCTCCCGATCTCGCTCCCTCGCCGCCTCGAATACCCCCTCCGAGGAACAGAAACGAGAACAAGAGGAGCTAAACCAGGCTCTGCAGACCCTAGCTCGAATCTTTCCCGATATTCGTATCGAAGTCTTCCGAGAGCTCCTGGTCCGGTTCGATGGGCAGAGCCGTCTCCATGTCTGCGTCGAGCAGTTGCTACGTCACAAAGAGGCGTGGGTAGCCGGGCGATGGAACGTGCCAGCTGGGACTGGGGGAACGGAAGAAGATGGCAAAGATGATCTACAACAACATCAACATACCGGACATGAGCATGCAGTCCCGCCTGATGAGCTATTCCGGACAAACGAATATAAAGCTGCCGTGAAGGCCGCTCTCACGAAGGAGTTTAATGGTCTGAGCAAGAGTACGGTGGAGGCAGTGCTGGCAGAAGTGAATTTCTCTTATCTGCGAGCCCGTCCGACTCTGCAAGATCTTTCCCGGAGAACCTGGCGTGCGACCTTCAACAGCATCCTTCCTTCATTCAAGCGCGGTAAAGATAAGAACGAGCATCCACTCATCGTGTGGCAGCGTCAGCCGGATGGTGACATGATCCCGCGGCTGAAAAAGACGGAGTGTCCGGAGTTGGACCGGGAGCTGTATCGGGCCTTGCTGGCACCCCTGCTTCGAACCAGACGGGAGGAGAGACTAGATAGAGACCAGAAGTTGGCGGAGGAGCTGAACGAGACAGAAGCCAAGGAGGCTGATGCTGTTTTTGAGTGCGAGTGCTGTTTGGACGATGTGACCTTTGAGCAAATCTCAACATGCTCGGACAACACGCACATTATTTGCTATGGCTGCATCCGGCGAACCATCCATGAGGCTCTGTTCGGTCAAGGCTGGGGTAAATCGGTCGATGTGGAAAAGTCAACGTTGAAATGTTTGGCGCCGTTCGATCACGACAGCTGTCCCGGGACCTTGGACCCAGCGATCGTCAAACAGGCTATCCTGCTTGACAAGGCCGGACCTGAGACGTTTACGAAATTCGAGACGCGCCTGTCCTCCGAGGTTCTGCTCAAGTCCCAGCTGAAGCTCATTCGGTGTCCGTTTTGCTCGTACGCTGAAGTTGATCCGGTTTACCACCCGTCTGCTCAAGGCCTTGTTTGGCGCTTTCGTCGCGACGGGTTCCTCTCTACGCTTCTGATTACCATCTTCTTACTCGACTTGATACCCTTACTTATCATTCCTCTAGCGATTCTTTATTTTGTCAACTCTTCTGCTGTATTCATCATCTTCCAGAACGCTCTTCTCAACCTCTGTCTCAAAACCAGACCCAAGAAATTCACCTGCGCGCACCCCGCATGCAGACGCGTCAGCTGCATCACCTGCCAGAAGCCATGGCGTGACCCTCACGTGTGCCATGAACCACTTCTCCTCGACCTCCGGGCCACCGTCGAGGCCGCTCGCACTGCAGCTGTCAAGCGCACCTGTCCGCGCTGCGGCCTCTCATTCGTCAAGTCCTCCGGCTGCAACAAACTGACCTGCGTCTGCGGCTATTCCATGTGCTACCTCTGCCGCAAGGCTCTTGGTTCTCCGATCAAGTCCGCAAACCGACTAGGACGACTTCGACCACGCCGTCGTGCCAACCTCGTTGAGAATGTCGATCCTGCAGCCGGACTAGACGCCATCAACGACGAACAAGAAGCCGGCAACGACGACGAATTCGAAGAAATGGAAGGCTACAAGCACTTCTGCGAGCACTTCCGCATTGATCCCGGCTCACGCTGCACAGAATGCAACAAATGCGAGCTCTACCAAGACGAAGACGAAGAAGCCGTAGCGCGTCGTGCCGGCGAGAAAGCCGAACGCGAATGGCACGCTCGTCAAGGCACGACCGGTGTGGGCATCGGGACTCTCCGCGTGAACAACGATTTCTCAAAAGCGGAGGGTAAACGTCGCGGCAATAGTGGGTTGATCCTTCATCATCACGGCAAGGGCATGAGTTACTGGCTGGATGAAGTCTGGCGGGATGGACGATGGCGAATAGAGGGACAGACGTTGGTAGACTGGGTTGTGGAACGAGTCCTAGTGATTGATGAATTTTAATCCCCTCTTCCCTTTTTTTTTTTCTTCCTGTGTTAGGCGTCTCCGGGTGTTTCGGGCATTGTTGATTCAGCTGGTCTAAAAGAATCATACAGCAGATTGAACGATTGAACGATTGATTGATTGGTTAAATTGATGTTGCTGCAGCATAGCTTGCTAGATTGATTGGATTGGACTGGCTTGATGATGATGACATGATCAACGACCTGCTTTCAACTTTTCCGGGTGTTACACTAGTACTACTTTTCTAAATGAATGGCTTCTCAAGAATGACTTTTCACTTCATTTTTGTCTATTTGATTTGGTACTTCTCTACTAAACCCACCAGCATGAGAAATAAAGTCAGTACCACGCACCCCCGTCACCAATTACATTTATACCCTCCATCTTACCCAGCGTAAGAATACTACTAATCCTCCCCATCTCTCTGCTCACCTCTCCTCCCCCTCCCCTCCTCCTTCAACCTCTCATCATCCGCCCTCTCCAACCCCACCTGCGGCATCAACCCAACCGCCAAGAGAAACGCCAATGCCGCGAGCGCCGCATTCATCGTGAACACGATCCTGAAGCCCCGTTTGTACGCGGGGATAAGCAGTGCACGAACTGTTGCTGCTTCGTCTTCAGGGAGTTTCGACAGGTAGTTGGATGGGCTAGCGAGGAAGGATTGTTTCTGGGATGTGGTTAGGTGGAGGGTGTTGATGGTGGTGGAGAGGAGGTTGTTTCTAACGTTTCTTTCGGTTAGTTTGATCAAATAGGAGGTAGGTAGGTAGGTGGATTGGTGGGTAGGGGGGTATATACGTACATGATTGTGCCGGATACAGCGAGGCCGAGGGTGCCGCCTAGGTTGCGGATGAAGCTGTTTTTGGGAGGTGGAGGTGTTAGTGGTGGGGTTATAGAGGGGGTTTAGATGGATGTTACTTTCGGAATGAGGTGACGATGGCCATGTCTCGTCTGGCGACGCCGGCTTGGACGGCGATTAGGGCACTGCAGTGGGTCAGGTTGGTATCGTGAGTTGTTCTGGGGTATGTATGATGGGTGGAGGGGCTCACGGCTGTAATGTATTTCCTGAACCTATACCTGTCAATAGGCCGTAGCCTATCTGTTTCCCTAGATTGGATGTCTCGTTTAGCGTCGACATCAGGCCTAGTCCGATGGCCCAGATCATCCAGCCGATGAGGATGGATTCGCGATATCGGCCCACCCAGTGGACGACTAGGCCGGAGAGGGTGCTGCTTAGGGCTAACGTGGTCATACTAAGCATGGGATAGAGTAACAGGATAATGATGGTAGGGCGGAACAACGTACTTTGCAATAATGTGATGGGCAAAACCATTGCACCAGCCTTGGTAGTCGAGTAATTGAACACTAGCTGATAGAATGTCGGGATGTAGTACAGCATGACTATGATGTTCCACCCGTTGATGAACATAGTCAGACATGCTCCATTCACGATGCGCGATTTGAATATATGCATGGGTATCAGCGGATACGGATGCCCCTTCCATTCCCATAGGACAAACGCCACACAGACAGCAAACCCCACGATGAGTGTCGCTAGAACGTGTGCCGATTTCCAGACATACTCGCCACCGCCCCAGGTCAATCCGAGCATAAGTACCGCGGTGCCTCCGAGTGCTAGAAACACGCCGAAGAAATCGACGGCTTTGAGCTTCGCTTTCCAGTCACCGGTGACTTTCCGCAAAGGCATGAAGAACATCACTGCCAGGATTGAAATAGCCGTGAGCGGCAGCATAAGCCGGAAGATCCATCTCCACGAGTTGTGGGAGATCGGGGATAGAGCACCCCCAATCACAGGGCCGATGCCGTTGGCGATGGCTATTACGGCGCCGAGGATGCCTTGATATTTACCTCGCTCGCGGAGTGGTACCACATCACTGACTATCATCTGTGCGATGGACGTGATTCCGCCGCCGCCCATGCCGGTGAAGGCGCGGAAGATGATAAGTTGTGTGGCGGTCTGTGCCAAAGATGATGCTAGAGAACCGAAGAACATGATGGCGAGGCCTACGTATAGGACGTATTTTCGGGACCAGATGTCAGAGAGTCGCCCGTA